ATTTTAGATAGAAAGAAGTGTATGTTACATATTAGGTTAGTTGGGTTAATTAGAGCTTGTCTTGCTTAGGCTTATTAATGCCCGTTGTAGTATTAGTTGTATACTAAATTACTAATTTCTTTCTTGTAGAGTTTACGTTATTGATTTATTAACTCTTATATTTTTTTCATGGTTTTGTTCGTTTATTTTCTGGATTTGATATATTCGAACCGATTTTTTTTTGAAAATAACTTATTTTTCAATCTCTATAAGGTCATGGTAAATCTGCATACACTTTACGTTCTACAGACCTCACCTGATAGAATTTCAGTGGCGTGTTATTGTTGTTGTTATAATATATATCTACATTGCTTTCAACTCTTTTTTTTCGTATGCCATTGATTATAAATTATATTCAAATTAGTTTGTTCATCTTTACCTCGACTCTCTGACACAAAATTTAGTTTTGCTTGACCTTTAAATATTTGACTTTTACAAGATACTATCCTTTGCTAAAAATAAATTGTGTGGCCCTTGATAAATTGTACACCACCTTTTTATCTTTATCCAATTGACCAAATTTATTGTACTCTCTCAGTCCTACTGTCATATTTGGCATTTTCAAGTCTTTTAAGAAATTAATTATTTTAATCGATTTAAATTATTTATCTGATTTTGATTTGACATAAAATTTGAAAAAATAATAAATATTTTTTAAATTTTGTAATTTTAAACTAATGATATGTAAAATGTATTCAAAATTTTAGTAATATCTAATTTTATGATCTTAAATATGACATTTGAAAGTCAATTCCACACGTCTAATAAAAAAAGCATTTTTTTTAATGAACTTAAAAGGAAAGCCAAACAAATAAATTAAAATGAAGGGGTATCATTTGATTTGACGCAAAGTGTAAAAAAGAAATAAATGTGTTGAATACTTTTGAAATTTGTAGTCTAAATAAACATTAAATATTTATGTAGTTATAAATTATTTTATTAAGAATAAATAAATAAAGTTAAATTCTTTTTAATTATAAAAAAATAACATTTATTTTGGGGTGGACTAAAAAATAAATTTATATCACATAATATAAGACATAAGAAGTAATTAAAAGATAATTAGACCAATAAATTTTATTTATTTTTTGATTTAAATTAAATAGTAGTTTTCCTTTCAACTTGTTATCTCTGTATCATCCTATTTATTAAAGTAAAAGTTAAGATAGAAAAAAAATATTATTCTATTTTGATTTTCTAAATGACAAGTATGTTAAATCAGTAAATTATAGTAATTATGACTAGTAAAATGAATCAAGCAACTATAATGACTAGTAAAATGAATCAGGCAGAGTTATTCATATGACACACTTTTATTTTTAATTTGTCCGTAAAAATTATTGCATTTCTATATTTATTTATTTTGAAATTTTTATTTTACCATTAATAACATGTTCTATAGTCACACAACTGTTCAAGTCACTGATATTGTTCATTTTCACGGAATGTAATGTAATGTTTTCTTTACTGTTTGTTATGCTCTTTTATTTTGTTTTTTTTTTTTCTTACTACTTTGGTATGCTATACTTGAGCCTATTTTTTTCAAAGCAATCTTTCTGCTTTCATGAATCACTTGTTGGATCGAACCCAAAAATATGTTTTAACAGTCAGGCATTGGATAGAATGAACACTCAACCGCTTCATCATGGTAGTGATGTATGATTTACATTTTCCCCTCCCTAGACTACATCTGTGGAATTTTAAAGAGTTTTTGTTGTACAAATCATGTTTTTAAGGACATGTTTGGATGAACTCATTTCCTTAACTTCAAAACAAATACTCAAAAATATTTTTTTTTTAATCCAAACACTATAAAAATATTTAGAAGCTATTTTAGTTTTGTCATACTTAAACTAAGTCAATTCAAACAGACCCTAAGAAGTCGTTAGGTATGAGGTATAAGGTATAATAATTTCAGGAATAAAATGCAAGACTATTTTATCATGCATTAGGTTGAAGGTATTAGACGTGAGATTATTTATCCCACCATTTATACATTAGTGATGAATAAATTATCTCATATACACAGTAAAATAACTTATCCAGAAATAATTAATCCCGAAATAATTTCTTTCCACCAAAACAACCCCCAAGTGTTGTTTTGTATGACAATAAATTTTCAAAGTCCTTTTTAATTTTTATTTTTAAAAAAAAAAAATCAAACGTGCTATATAAATTGGGAGGAGTAGGAGTTTTTCACAAAACTATCTTGCTACGCTTCCTAGTTGTCAACTACACATTATTGAGATAAATTTTATATACATGGCTCACAATGACTTCTCAACAAAATCATCATCATTTTCTATCCACAACTTAACCTAACTTCATTATTATATTTTCTTTATTCATACCAAACACCCCCTTTTCAATATATTCACATTTTTTTTTCTTTCTTTTAATCTTGTCATTGGCCATGAGGCCAAGAATGCTATTTCCATCTTCAAACCAAACAACAAATTGCCATAATATTTGTGACTCAACATGTCCTTATGGATGCTATCCATACCCTAATATGAACTATTACATGACACCACCAATACCACCACCAGCACCAATCGAATCGAGCAACAAAGTTGTTCAAAACATTTTACCTTATATTATTATATCCATCGCGTTATTTGTTAGCTTGTTCCTACTCGTTAGCTACTACATAATCATCGTAAGAAATTGCTCGAATTGGAATCGTAGAAGAACGAGAGGAGAAGGCGATAACGGTGAGTCGATTAATGATCATCCAATTTGGTACATCAATACTATGGGAATAGAGACTTCTTTAATCAATTTGATTACAATTTTCAAGTACCAAACAGGGGATGGTTTAGTTGATGGAACAGAGTGCTCTGTTTGTTTGAATGAATTTCAAGATGATGATTCACTTAAGTTGTTACCTAAATGTAACCATGCTTTTCACATCGATTGTATCGATATGTGGCTTAGATCACACGTTAATTGCCCATTGTGTCGTGCTCCTATCATCTCCAACACTGTTGTTGCACCCGTGGGATCATCAATAATCGTTCCCATATCGAGTACTAATGATGATATTGGTTCAATTGTAGAAATGAATAACAACAATGAGGCTAGAGAAGGGGAATTTCAAGAAAACGATGATCATGATGAACGTCATGAAACATCGAAAAAAGATGTTGAAATATTACAAAAAATGCGAAGGTCAGTATCTATGGATTCTTCAATTGCTACAAATATAGGACTACAAAGTGAAAAAAAGTGTGTAGAGACAAAAAGAAATGAGGGAACAAGTTCAAATTCAAGAATCCAAAGGGTTATGGACAGTGCTTCTTCAATGAAGAGATCATTTTCTTATGGTGGGAGGTCATTTTTTTCGAAAAGTAAGAGAAATGAGTCGTGCTCGGGGCTCTAATGTGGAGTCCGAACAGACAAAAAAAAAGATGAGAGACATGGGCTTTATTGTAATTGATGTAAGGACTGAAGTCTTACTGAGACTTGCACATTGTTGTACAACTTCAAGATCATTTGTAATGTTTTGTGCCACAACTTTGCGATTTGAGGTGGATATATACATCGTTGTAAAAGTGGTACACATATATCCTTGTCGATTAATAAATAATGTACATATATGCTTATCATCTAACAAATGAGGCATATTTACTTTTTCATTATTAGGCTGAGTTTTAGAAGAAAAAAAAATCTTAGACACTGAGTATGTCTAAATTTTACCCATCCACCAACAAAGGTTACGGTGGAGTTGCAAATACTTTTTCATACTTAACCAGAGATCTCAGGTTCGAGTCCATTTTGATACAGAGTCAGTTTTGTGAAAAAAATTTACCCACCATTTGGGTGGGACAACAGATTCCAGCAAGGCACCCTATTAATTAATTGGAAATTAAACTCTAATTAGCGCATTGCAACATGCTCATTAATATCTACGTAATTAATTTTTGTTTTGGAAAATATCTTGAATTTTGTTTTATTTTATTAAGCTTATTAAAAGTAGTATAGTAAGCTGATATAACAATCATTTAGGAGTCGTTTGATAGATGAATAAGAAATAAATTATTCATGTATTGATTTTTGTATAATTTATACGACGTTTGGTAGGTATATAAGAAATAAATTATTCATATATAAAATGAATATGATGTTTGATTGATAATTTAAAAACCCGTAAAATTAATATATTGATAAATTATGAGAAAATCTGTATATTATTTTATACGAAATAACTAATACATTGAATTATGTAATATGTCAATTTGATTGAAGTAGATTTGACAATCCCCAATTATAGACCGGTTCTCCTAAAAATGACTAGATTAGCTAGACTTCATAAAAGACAATTAACTGTGTGTAAATATATATTCTAGGCTAGCTAGGTTTCATTAAGATTACAATTTTTATACGATAAGTGGGGTGTTTGATTCTTCAATTCGATTCTTTCAAACTTTGATTTGATTTTTGAAAAGTTCGGTTCATTTAGTTCGATTTCTTAATTTCGGAATGGGATATGGGCTTAGAACTTGAGTTGAAATTTATGGGCTTGAGACTTGAGTTCAAGTATGAAATTTGAAGAGTTGATTATTGAACTTTTGTACTATTGAAAAATCAGATACATAATATCGAGGTCCATTAAACCTAAATATCATATTATTAGAAAAATTATATTGAATCTGAAGAAAAATATCGAAAATTGAAGAATGAAACTAATTCAGTTCGATCTAAGTTTTCAAATATTTATGCCCACCCTTACCTGAAAGGGTTTGGACTAAATCTATCTAGAATCTCAACTCAATTTGCCATAGACACTAGAATTATTTTATGTCAAGAAAATTCAATCATTCTCCTTGAGACTATGAAAGGTAGTATTTATAATGATTAAGAAGGTAGTAGTAAACTAATAAAAATGATTAAAAGAAGAAAAGTTGATACATATAGAAATTAAATAAACAAGAGCTATTATATTTTTGAGAAAAAAATTATTAGTTTAAACTTGAAGTAGCCTCCTCTTCTTGAATTCTATCCAATAATTGGTTAACAGCATGAGAAATTTCTTCTACTGTTGTCAATTGGCACCCTTCCTCTAGCTGTTCCAAATTTTATCCATATTGCACACAATATATATGAATTAGAAATATATATGAAACATTTGATTTGTAAATGAAAAAGAATATTATATATATATAGAGAGAGAAAAGAGGGGAAAATAACTGAACATGTATGGATTTCAGTCATATGAATTTGAACTTCCGGTATCTAAAATTTAATTTAGATATTGTGTTTGAAATTAATCTATGTCTGGACTAATTTTATTCGTACATTGTATGCTCTAAGTTATCCCGAAATAGGTATACATAAAAAAGAAGAAGTTAGGGACAAGTTATGTTAACATCAAAATTGGATATTCATGCATTTTGCCCTTAGAGAATTTTCACAATATCATATCATTTACAAGAGATTTTTGAGTTATAACACCAATAGTATTAAAAAAAAATTACACTATGATATCACACAAAATATATTTTTAGATAACTCTTCATAAAAGAGTATTTGTAACTTATCATATGATAGTGCTAAAATTCTTGAGAGTTGAGTTAAATTCAAAAAAATAACTACAACTATTTGTCCATAAAAAGTGGGGGATTCATGACCTAAAAAAGTTAGGCTTATGTATCTTATTCTAATTTAATCATGACTCTTATGATGACATTATTATATGTTTAATTTGGTGTAAACACAAAATGCGAGTATCTACGTACAAAATATAATATGGAGAGATGCAAAAAAAATTAATGACAAACCTTAGTGCTGATGGAGTAAAGAACAATTTGGTCATGAACAGTAGTGACATTAAGGTGAAGAATAGTAAGCCACAAGCATTGAAGGCCAACTACTATCTTCATGAGTTGTTTTGGTCTTCTCTTTGAGAGTATTTTGAGGTTGACATGACTCTCTACTAAGTTCACTTGTATGTCATGACTCATCAGTAGTGGTCGAGATTTTTTGACTGCTACTGATGACTCACATGAACAATTTGAGTATCGTGAGAAAGAGAAGAAATCAGCAAAAAGCGGTGATGATGATATATCGCTTTTTTCGAGCTGAGAAATTAATGTCTTTTGAGCTTGTAGAGTTTGGAGATTGTGCTCTAGCTCTTTTACAAAGTTTATGGCTCCTCCAATTATTGATGCTTGGTCCGCCTGACATTAATAAAGAATTCTCTTTAATTAATTTCATCGTAACTTATTAAACTATATAATACAATAAAAGTCCTAGAAATACAAAAATATTTTTAAAGAATTGGATAATATCTTTATTGAATTTATTTAGAAAATGAATTTATTTTAGATTAAAATTGAAATTGTGTTTAGAGATGAATTTTTTTTTATATATATGAATAAAAAATATTATTTCACTTAAAATCCAACCCAAAGCAATATTAGTATTTCACTAGTACTTCAAATTTGACGGCCAAATTAGATTTGAATGTAATTGATACTCCTAGTAAATTAAATAGTTTAATTTGGACAAGTAATTACTTTAATCAACTTGGAAATAGATGTAATTTTATTTTTAAGAAACAAAGGAAAACTTCATTAAAAGAAATAGTAATTGAATGATCATTTGAAATTTTTAAAGGTCAAATTCATTCATTTAAGACGATTCGATTGAAATAACTTTCTTTAAAAAAAAGAAGAGAAGAAGAAAACAAACTTTTTGAACGTAGGAAGATGGCATCAAAGATCGAAGAATAGTAAGATAATCATTCATTTGTTTTCGCCGATTTCGCTCCACAGCTATATGTATCATTCTCTGGTCTTTATTATTACATGTTCGTTTCCTTTTCTTCGTGCAACACCTTAAAGAATTTGAATTTGAATTTGCTGATGAACCCTCCAAAAACAGCATATTATTACTATTCTCCTCAACAATATTGCAATCTCCTAATTTCACTTGATTTTGCATCATTGAATAATTATAAAATGAAATGTACTCCAAATTGTTGTCAAGAATAATGGAACTTTCTTGCTCTTCATACCCATATAATTCTTTACAAACATAGCCATTATATTGTTCTTGAGGGTAAACCACTGTCTCTAATGCCATGATTCTTTTTTTTATTTACCTTTTTGTCCCTAACATATGTTAGAAATTAAAGGTCAAGAAAGTGAGAGAGAAAATAATTGGAGTTAATGTTTTTTTTTTCCAATGAATTTCAAATGACCAAAGAGAAAGAAGATCAAAGAAGAGAGAAGGGAAGAGAGCTCTTGAATTTGCACACTAAACTTTGTGGCTTTTGTAATAGTATATGAGTTCAAAGCAAGCAAATAAAATTTGAGATTATAAGAATTCTTTACACAATTAATACAACTACAAATAACATATTCAGCGTAATTCAATATGTGAAATTTGAAGAGAGTGATGCAAATAGTCTTATTTTTACCTTGTGAAGGTGGGGAGTTCAATAGACACTCAACTCGAGTAATTAAAATATAATAAATCAAGCATGAAACGGGGGATCATTACAATAGTAAAGTACGTAGCATAGTCATTCTGAATATAATGGAGAAGAGAATAGTAAAAGCAACATATAATACGATAATCAAAGTAAGGTTATAAGTGTGGCACGTAGAATAAACGTTGAGGTAGATATAAAAATTATTTACAACAATTTTTTGTGGGACCCAAGGTAGACCAACACAAACGAGCACAAGACAAATGCCACAATTAATTAATTAATTAGTGAAAGTGGAATTCAGACAGAGTCACCGGGTAATCCTGAATTTATCAAGTACACACATGAGCTGAACAATTTAATTAATTAACTTTGCAAGTATGACAATTTCATAAATGAAAGAAATCTGTACAAAATATTAGATATTAAAATGAGTGTCGAAATTTTATAGATACAAAATTCAGTGCAAAAGTCCATTTAACTATGCAATAACAACATCTTAATAGACAGAATAGGTTAACCACAAAAATTAGTACAATCTTGAGAATTAGGTTTAGAGTGCAACAAAACGTTGAATAGTTTAGAGATGAAAATAATATTAAAAAATTAAATCTAGAAGATTAATGAAATCTCGTATAAATTAAATATGAACTAACAATTTATAATTTAGAAATTCTTATTCCTTACCACACTATTGTACGTGTTACGTGTACTAAAGTAGTAATAATTATTATTGTACAAATACCAAAAGGAAATAAAAAAAGGATTTGATATCTCATCACGTACTTGAAATCAGTTAACACCAAGTAGGAGTAAGAATATTGCAGGAACAAGATCGTTTGACGTGAAGGATAACATGAATTAGTTATGAAATTAAATTATAGTGTTACTTAATTTATTGTTTAGTTGATAAGTTAAGAATAACGTATTCTGAAATAAATAATAAGTATTGCGATAAGTTATACCTCCAGTAGGTGGTATATTAATTTCGGGATAATTTATCCCGAAATAAAATAGGTAAATGACAAAAATATCTATTTAAATCCTTTTTATACATCACCTTTCACATTCATGACATTTTTGTAAACAATTTAACTTATTCTTAAAATTTATGCAATGCATATTATTTTGAATATAAAAAATTAAAACTTAGTCAAGTAGATAGGTCAATCTGAGAGCGAGGCAAGTCAAGAAGGGGCTGAGACTTAGGGTTCGAAGACCAAGTCAGAGACTACTAGACGATTTCCTTGATCCATTCTCAAGATCTCAAGCCTCCTACCAACTCACTCTCGATGACATTAGACACTACCTTATTTAGACTGAAAATAATTTAACTGTCCAATTCAATATAAAATAATTTTAGCATAATAAATTTCATCATATAATTTATCTCTTCATTATAACTTGTATTTAAATCAAACAACTCTTACTGAACCAAAAGAAAGAACATGTGTTTTGTTTGGGGGTTAACCATACAAAGAGAGAGAGAGAAATCAAAGTAGTACTCTTTTATATTCCAATGATGTCTTTGTTCCTTTCTTGTCTTACCAAGAATCCTATATCCTCACTCTTTTATATTTCACAATGATGTCTTTGTTCCTTTCTTGTATACATTTTATCTTTTTTTACGAAGGTCGAAGGTTATTTTTAATAGATCTTCAGTGAAAAAAAAAGGTATGGATTAATTTCGTAATGATAATAATATATTGACCCCAACTTTTAATAAAAGGTAAATGTGGACTATTTCACAAAGTAAAGGAAAAAATTGGATATTTTCCCCTTCTTCCGTTCAAAGCGATGTGTATAATATACAAAATATATCGTCCTTTGAATCTTAAGATATTAAATATGTCATGTTAATTAATTCTATAAGATAGTGAAATGAGAATGTCAAAATTAGAGTACTCTATTAAAAATAGGACTAACATGAAAGGTAAGACATAAGAAATTTAGGATTACCCTATTCTTGATAAACATCCTTTTAAGGGATTTGAAGTAAAAAAAATTCTCATATATACAATACATTCTCTAGGGCTTCAATTCTTTTACACTTTGGAATTCCTTAATTACCCTTTCCAATTTAATATTTTCTTGGCTTTGTTCATCTTGAGCTATGTTAATTTATTTTTGTCTTCCAAACCTTCACAACTATTGATGCTTAACTAACATACACTTGATTAATTTATACATTATTAAAATGCAAGATTAAATTATTCAATTACTGATTAAAGTTGTACAGTATACTTGATTTAAAAATGATTAGAGACAATATATAATTATGCAACTTGACTTAGGTTTATTATTTTAATGGAATCAGTGTGATTCTGTTCAGATTTCTTAGGCAAAGCTACAAGTAAACCCTTGAAGAAAGTCTCTTTTTATGTTTATTATTTTAAAATAATGGAACAGTATTATTATTTTTTGTAGTGTTGTTTGTCGTCTTCCCATATAATTATTGAGTATTCCGTACTCAAATTTTTTGACTGCATTACTATTTCTTACGTAAGTACTATCTAATATTTTAAAAATGAATAATCAATTTTGGAACTTGTGATTTTAGGTATGACATGATATATATTCTGTTCCTATGAAACTTTTGAGACTTAATAATAATAACAATAATAACATATTTCGTGTGATACTATAATTAATTGAGGATGTGAAGAGCTAGGTGAGGTTCGCAAATCTTACCCTTCATGAAGTAGAGACATTTTAATAAATTTATTGCCTTAAACATGTTATAATAGTATTGGTATAATTATTGAAAACATCTTGTTAAGGCTAAAATGAACAATTTAAAATTAAATGTTTTTTCAAAATTTTAATTTGCCATTTTTTCTAATTAATGGACTAAAAAGAACCAGGGATTACATAAAGTAGAACATAGATAATATATAAAAAAGAGAAGTATTGAATTAAACACCCATAAACATATGATAATTGTCGAGACATACTTATTTAAGTTGATTACCTTATTAAAGAAGACGATAATTATTAGAGGATAATGCAACTTAAGTAACGTTTATTAATATTTCAATGCGATAGGTAGGATTCCCGTTAGATTTACTAAGACAAATTAAGCTACATGTACACACTTTAACGAAACTCATCAACAAGTTATGTAAACTGGTAAATACTTCTTTATTCTTAATCATAGACGATCTTGAGTTCGAGTCTTTTTGGGAATGAGTAGTTGGTTTGGATAATTTTACCATCAAATTATCAAATTTATCGGTAATATTTATGAACTAACTAGTATAGCTGAATAAGAAACAAGTTATTCATGTATTAATTTTTGTATAACTTATATGATGTTTGATGGATAGATATGAAATAAGTGATTCATGTATAAAATTAATGTGACGTTTGGTTGACAATTTAGAAACCCGCATGACTAATACATGTATAAGTTTTGAGAAATTTATATATGTATTATTTTTTGCAAGATAGAATGTGAGAATATAATCTCTGCATAACTAATATCGATGTAAAATAATACATAAATTTATTCGTAACCAATTTTACATTACTAATATCTGCATAACTCTAAAGAAATCTTAAATTGATTAATCAAATTTTATTTTTTTCTTGATTTGATATCTAAAGGTCTTGGTCAAAGAGGTCTATATGTTCTCAACAACGTAAATAACCTATAAGGAATAAACTAGCAACTAAATACATATATAAGACGGTTTGGCCGAGTGGTCTAAGGCGCCAGATTTAGGCTCTGGTCCGAAAGGGCGTGGGTTCAAATCCCACAGCCGTCATTTTTTTCCCTTTTTTAAAGTTTTGCATTATAACAAACTAGTATACATGCCCGCGCGTTGCGCGGTTAATTGATAAATGTAATCATAAATTTTAATCTATTGCAAATTTAAAATTTCAACTTATTATAAGATATCATTTTAAAATTTATTTGAGAATGTTAATAGCATCTTGATGTGTTATAGTAAAATATTTATGTAAACAAATCAATATATAAGCTTAGTTCTTTGTCTAAATTTGACAATAATAATCTTTTAATCATTCTTTTATTTATTTATTTTTTAAATTATTTAGAATAATAACGACTATCACTCTCTTCATATTATCCACTTGTTAGAATAATAAAGATATAAGAAAATTTAATAGTTAGATTAAAATTAAATATAACTAAGAAAAGTCGTATCATAATGCTAAGCATACAATAAAAAAGTTGAATCACTTGGATATCAAACAAATGTTAAATTTTAAATATGTGCAGTTATAATTTAACCAATAATTTTATAAGATACCATTATTACCAAACAAATGCTACAATTTAAATATGTGTAGTAATAACGTTAACAATATCTAAAATAATAAAAATTTAAATCCAGCGAATTCATATATGAAGCCTGCAAAAACAAACAAACTTAAAATCATTAAGAAAAAAAATTAAAAAAGAAACAACAAAAACTAATAGTATCTATAATTATACATATATATATATATATATATATATATATTTAATGCATACCCAAATTTCATAGTGTTAATATTCAAGAAGAAACTAAACTCAAACACTAACAATATTTATAGTTGTGTGATAGAATTATCTGGGAGAAGAATTTTATAGACATGATTGTGAGAGTGTAATTGAATCTGCAGCAAGTTCTCACACATAACCTAT